CCCACTCCCGGGCCCGGCCGCCTGCAAGTCGAGGAGCCGCTGGAGTGTCTCCCTCTACTGGAAGCTCTGCTTAAACGTCAGGCGTGGGCCCGCTCCTGGTGGCTGGGAGGCAGAACCGCGCAGGGAAAGGAGCCTTAAACCCTGAGGTTGCCTCTGATGGGGAGGGTAGCGGATCCTCGGGGATTTAGGGCGCACCCACCCATGTCAAGTCCTTTTAGAGAACCCAGGGCAGAATTCCAGGACATCCGGTGCTGAGGGGACCTGAGATGAGTTGAAATTTTCTGTGGACCTCAAGAGAACTCCCCAGAAAATATGAAACTTGAAAGTGGCAAGAAATCCTTTCCTCCATCACCCACTCCCCCCACCCATTCCTGCCTGGCTGGCCTCATTTTTATGATTGCATTTGAATAATTCTCATTACCCTGGCCCCAGAAAAGGTGCTCAGTTGACACTCTGGTTAGTTATTCCTAGTCTCAAGAGCTTTTTCTTCTATGGGCTTCCTGGGGCGATGGATTCACCAAGGGGGAGACAATGTAATGGGGTGGAGCAGGGGAGATATAAAAGAGAGTAGAGGCTTTGTCTGCAAGCCTGTTGGAGCCCCGGTTATTTTTCATTCTAAAAAGTCCTTGGTAAACTCAGTGAGTTTTGGGTGTTGGAGTGCAGTAATGTAAAAGGGGAGACCAGTGGGGCTCTTTCATCTTGGGCTTGCTGGGGTGGATTCATCTGCTTCTGGGAAAAAATGGATTCCTCACCTAAAAGCATTCTACAGAAGAAGACCAAAGCAAGCATGTGTAGTCATCATGTGCCTCCGTTCCTTCAACCAAGTTGATAGTCTCACTAAGGACCAGGTACAGGCATGCAGACACCTACTGAAGCAGGCTCACTTACTCCCATAATTTAGCACAAGGCCCTCTCTACAATCAAGGGACAAAAGAACCCCTCTCCCTCTGCAGAGGAGCCATTTCAGCCAGGCAGTGACTGATCCTCTGACCCCAGACAAGGTAGGAGTCCTGAATAAAGCCTAGACAAAGACCCTAATGTCAGGAAGGACAATAAAAAATGAAACCCCAGCCAGGCAGGCCAGGTCTTCAGTAAATAATCTACCCCAAGAAGTTGAAGGCTGCCCCTTAGTCAATTTTAAGCCTCTTGGTTACCCCTCCTCTGACTCAGGCATGGGTAAAGATGAGAGTTATTAGATTCCATGGCTTAGACAAGGCAACTGAGACTTTGCATCATATCCCAAATATGATACTATTTGTCCAGATCTTCTCAGTATCTCCAAATTCACCCTCTGAAGTTCAGAGGAAGAAACTCTTCATCAGTAGCCTTGTTATGGAGAGAGTTGAATCTTCTCGCCTTCGTGTAGATTTTCCAAAGACTTCACTAGGTGGATTTATGTCACCTCAGCCTCTGATGTGTGGTCAGAGACTCTGGCTGCTGACAGCATAATCGCTATTATATATTATACATTGTATAATGATATAATAATAATGAATGCACTTGCCCTTTTTATGTAGTACAGTAGCAGCCAGATTTGCTGGGGGTCAGGCTGTCATAAAGTCCCAGAGGGAAGCCTGCTTCAGATATTGGGGGAGGGGAGATCCATTTGGCCCTACCCAGTACCCTTGGAAGGAGGCTTTTCTTTCTTTCCCAGGGCTCCTAGTGAGTTGCTGAGCCTGAAGAGTCAGAGGGAAAATCAGGCTGAATGTAAATACTTAACCCCATCAGAGAGGTGTCAGTGAGCCATAAATAGTACTACAGGCAACAGCTATGCATCACTGATTCACACTTATCACACCCCTCATTTTCTGGAATCCAGTTCAATGCCCAGCTCTTTCTTGAGATGGCAGATCCATGGCCACGAGCTATTAATTTGTGGAAGTCTTTTCAAATCTGTGATTGCCACTAAAACCCTTTTGGTGCTTTAAAATGCATATTGTAATTTTAAGCCAATGTAGCTTGCTTTGCAGTTTGCAAAAGCTTTAAAAATTATTATCTAAAATGTAGCAATCCTTTTTATAATCATTCAGAGCAGATATTTGCACTGCCCCCTCTGGTAGCTCAGCTGTGTGCTGGTGCTAAGGGTAAAAAGGAGGGGCAAAGAGGCCCCAAATTACTGCTCTTATCATCAAGCTGCTTTCATTCTACTGGAGGGAGACAAAGTGCCCATGTTTAAACACTGAATAACAACAATGCAGGTACAATATAACTAGTTAGGAATTAATGATCAAATGAGTTGTCAAATTCCATGGTTCTGCATCTAAATCTTGGCTCTATCAGTAAGTAGAGAAAGGAGAGAGTGGAACTTAAGTGTGTAGAATTTGGTCCAGATACTGTACAATTTCTCCTCCATCATCCTTTTAGAATGAATAGACACATGCATGTCATAACTCATCAGTATAAACCATTGTAACCAAACAGGAGATCTTATAAATCCTAGTCATCACGTCTACATGTTAGAGTTCCTCTGCTTGGTTCTGGGCTCTCTTCTCACTCCACCTGTGCTTTGTTGTTAGGATAAGAAGTCCTACCAGCCCAGATTGTCTCCTCTGAGCTCCAGATATGCACAATGAGCCATCTGAATCCTGCTTGTGTCACCCTATGAATACAAATTTAAGACCTGCATGTACTAGTCTGCTTGGGCTGCATAAGAAAAGCTCCCAGCCTGGGTGGCTTAAACATTTATTTTCTCAAAGTTCTGGAGACTGATCAAGGTGTCAGCAGCATTGAGTCTCTTCCTGGCTTGCAGAGGGCACCTTCTTTCTGTGCCCTCCCATGGTCTTTCTTCTGTGCACACAAGCAGAGAGAGGGGGTTCTGTTGTTTCTTCCTCTTCTTCCAAGGACTTGGTCCTACTGGATTACAGTCTCAGTCTTATGACTTCATTTAACCTTAATTACCTCCCTAAAGGCCCTATCTCCAGACAGTCATATAGAAGGCCAGGTCTTCAACATATAAATTTGGGGGTACACAATTAAGTCTCTAACACATCCAACTACTAATTCCCTTCATTCTCAACTTAATTATTTTTAATGACTTGATATATTGTGAGGTCCTGGAGGATGGAGACAATATCTCATTTCATCTTAGGGTCCCTAAAGCCTAACACAGCACCCAGTCTAGAAAACATATTAAAGAAATGCTTGTTGGATTGAACTGAATAAAACTTATTTCTCCATCTTTGCCCCAGTCCTAATTGAGGGATTTCTCACCAGTGGCTTGGAATATTTTAATGATTTCCTACCTGGTCTAAAGAACTCTCTACCATCTTTCTCACCTAAAATAAAGGTGGGATCATAGCTTGCTTTCCTCTCAAAATCCTCATTACCTACAAGATTTAGACTAAAAGTTTATTGGGTTTATCAATGAGTCAATGGATTAAGAAAATATAGAATATGTACACAATGGAATTTTATTCAATTACAAAAAAAAGAATGAGATGTTGTCATTTGCAGCAACATGGATGAACTGGAAGACATTATGTTAAGTGAAATAAGTCAGTATTTATCAGAAAGATAAATACTGCATGATCTTACCTATATGTAGAAGCTAAAAAGTTGCTGTCAAAGAAATATTGAATAGAATAGTGGTTACCAGAAGCTGGGAAGAGTGTGGGAGAGGGAAAAATGGAGAGAGGATGGTTAATTGGCACAAGGGTGCAGTTGGATAGGAGAAATGGCTTCTAATATTCTTTATAGCACAGGAGGAAAACTTTGATTGGCAACAATTAATTGAATATTTCAAAATATATAGTAGGGAAGATTTTTAATATGCCAACACAAAAAAAAAGTGATACAAAAAAAGTGATACATATCTAAGGTGATAGATTTGACAATAACCCTGAACTGATTGTTACATATTGTACATATACATTGAAGTGTCACACTATAGCCTAATAAATACATACAACCACTGTATGTCAATAAAAAATAAAAATGTACTTTTCAAAAAGTTTATTGGGTTAAGCTGAGCACTGTAGTGCACAAATCTATAATCCCAGCAACTAGGGAGACAAAGATCACAAGTTTGAGGCCAGTCCTAGGAATTTAAAAAGACCTTGTCTC